GGTCCCTGCCACCTGTCAGCTGTTGAACATTTTAGCTGTATTTTATTGTGTTTTAATTTGTGCAGTATGCCAATAAAGGTTCCCGTCTGTCTGTCTGTCTGTCTGTCTGTCTGTCTGTCTGTCTGTCTGACAAGCATAACAAGGGAGGAGGGGCCTTGAAGTTGCCCCTTAGGAATTAAGACAGCAAAATGAGTAGGCAAACTGGATACTTGGTCACAGTTCTCCTTATTGTAGTATAACTTTAAAATCATGGTTTGGTGAGCATATTCTGTGGACACAGAACCTTTAATAAGGTGACATTTTTCTTGCTGTTGCTCCAAGAAAGATTTAAAAAACAACACCATCAAGATGTGTGCAGGCGGACAAGTGAACTGACTAATTATACCAATTAGAATGCCCTGTAGTTTCTTTCAGTTACATGTGACTGAGCAGAACAACAGTTAGTGCCACTTAGAATTAGTGTTTGGGCATATATTAGGAATCTGTAGGTGTTTTGAGTAGCAATTGTAATATATGTTATGCATGCATGTCTGTCTAATTTTCTTTTGGAGGTTCTAATTGCTGTGCTGATAAAAAGATCTTAAAAATTCAGTAAACCAAAAGAAATTAACACAAGCTCTGTATCAGGGGAGTCAGGTAAGAAAGTTTAGTTCTGTAGAATTAAAAATATTCACCATCACAATTCTATTTTAAAAGAAGTAGAAATGAACTCTAACCACATGGATGTGTGTGTTCCATGCTGACCCCTCCTCATGGTTCCTGATGAAACACATCAAAACTTATCCTACGTTTGTGTACATTCTGTTTGTCCCTGATGGCTGCCGGTCTTTAAAAGAACAGCCACACTGCACTGTAAAATACTCTGGTAAGCACAGTAATCGAAGGAGCAATACCATGGCTTCGGCAAACAGCCTGCACGGTGAATTTATGAGAGGGTGCTTTCAACAGCCAGACACTGAGATTGAGATGGAGGGCCGCAGCAACCTTCCTCAAACTAGTAACCTTCAAATGTGTTGGCCCACAGCTTTTGGCGCCAGACTCGGAAAGACTACACTGGACCAATGCTTTTTTCTCTCTCTCATTCTTCCAGAGATGTTTCTCACAGTTGTGTCACTCCGTACAACCTCTGTTAACCAGAAGTAACCCCCAGGGAGTTTAAAACAAATCTTTATGTTACAGACTGTTTGTTTACTAGTTACTTTTACAGTACACTTTTCTTTCAGTAAGCTCAAAACTGTGTCCCTCATTCTCCTCTCAGCTATATCCTCACAACCACCCTGTGGTATTAGTCAGACTGAGTGAGTGCGACTGGCTCAAAGTCTCTGCATGAGTTCCATAAAGCCAGCATTTTTAGCACCTGTACTTGTACCAGAAGCAGAAGTACTGTACATGTAACTGCACTGTAATCAGGAAAGAGACACTGAGACACTCCAGTACCTGCATAGATAAGAAGGGCATAAAAACCGTGAGAGGCTCCACTGAGCCTCTCATGTCTCTTTATCGTCCATCCTCCTTTCTCCTTCACTTAGGGAAGACCTCATCATACTCTAAAAATAGTCTGAGAGACGTGTGATACCTTAAAAGCTAAAAGGTTTTATTTGGATGTTTTTAACAGTTGATGAAGGTTTATGAAGAGAGTAGGAAAGAGAGTAGGAAAAACCACTGGGCTACTCAGGTATAATCTAAATCAAATCCCTTATGAATACACAGTGGAAGTGAAGAACAGATTTAGGGAACTCGATTTGGTGGACAGAGTGCCTGAAGAACTTTGGACAGAGGCTCGTAACATTGTACAGGAGGCAGCAACAAAAACCATCCCAAAGAAAAGGAAATGCAAGAAAGCAAAGTGGCTGTCCAAGGAAGCCTTACAAATCGCAGAGAGGAGAAGGGAAACAAAATGCATGGGAGATAGGGAAAGCTACAGAAAATTGAATGCAGACTTCCAAAGAATAGCAAGGAGAGACAAGAGAGGCTTCTTAAATGAACAATGCAAAGAAATAGAGGAAAATAA